GAGCATTCTCCATGGACCATACGGTATAAAGCACAGAGAGAACCGAAGTCCCTCCATAGACCCAGACGTTCCAAGTGATCCGTGAGAGCGGGGCTATCGACCATCCGAACAGCCCGTTTCTGTATGGAGTCAAACGGAAGTAGCTGGTATTTGGGTATGCTGTTAAAATCTTAAAAACAACACGGCCTAATAACAGGAGCCGCATTGTGAATACTCAGCTTGATTAGCTCGGCGTGGGCAGCTCACAAGATAAACAAGCTTACAATTATAATTATTCAGAATGTAAATAATAATTTTAGAACGTGATTAACAGTCGAGATTACGGAAGCTTTGAAGCTCAATTAAATTTAATATTTCCTTTGAGTAATATTCACGGCGCACTCTCAANTTCTTATTTTTATCTTGGGAAAACAAAGGTCATAAAATAGTTTAAAATCTTCAAAAAATGAGTCAAAGGCATATTCGGGATCATTTGAACTAAATACATCATAAAAAGTTAGATTTTGTAAACATGTTTGAAAATTTTTTATGTTTTCATTACTAAAATCTCTTCGTATTGTATACCAATGACTAAGAGTACACGTTTTTTTGACGGGGCACGTTAACATCTGAGCCGTGTGGTCTGACATACCAAGATCAATTACTTCACATTTGCTACCTTGTACATTATTTAATATATTATCAATACATGTATTACTACTTGGGCGAGTTACTTCACGTGTACCTATTTTCATGTTAAAGCTATAAGTTAAATGCTCAAATCGTAGAGAAATAGGGTTTCTCTTCAATAGGTCAATATTAAAATCACCACATACAACTACTTTTTTGAATTTCCATTTATGTACTAAGCACATTATAGAATTGTAAACGTTAAAAAATATATTTAGTTTTTCTTGTGTATATGATGTATTGATGATGAATTGTTTAGTCGTCTTCACGACTTGATACCAATAGGTACGAAGGGCAGAATTGTGTTAGTCCATAGTTATGGTTAAAAAGTAAGAGCGTGAAGTCGTCGTGGCCTAACGGATAAGACGTCCGGTGCATTCGTGTTGAAGCGATGCACCGGTGTTCGAATCCCGCAGGCGGGTACCAATTTTTCTAATGAAATACGTACTCAACAAATGTTCACGATTGACTTCCACGGTGAAGGAATAACATCGTGTAATAAAAATCAAACCCGCAAAATTATAATTTGCGTAATCACTGGTGGTAGGACCTCTTGTGAGTCCGCACGGGTAGGTACCACCACCCCGCCTATTTCCGCCGTGAAGCAGTAATGCGTTTCGGTTCGAAGGGTGCGGTAGCCGTTGTAACTATACCTGAGATCTTAGAACTTATATCTCGAGGTGGGTGGCGCATTTACGTTGTAGATGTCTATGGGCTCCAGTAACCACTTAACACNGAAACCTGGATCTTATGGCTCAAAGCGAGTGTCGTTATTCGTTTGGGCATTTTTTTATTGCCTTTGTAGGCAGACGAGCATACCGCCCACCTGATGGTAAGTGGCCACCGTCGCTCATGGACATCAACAATGCCAGGGGCAGAGCCAAGCCGCTGCCTACCATAAAGTACTCTCCGCAAGCCTCGTTTGAAGAAGGACATGTCATAGCGCTCGGAAAACACCGTGGAGGGGAGCTCATTCCAAAGCCGGTGGGTACGTGGCAAAAAGATCTTTGGAAACGCACTGTCGATGAACGCAGCGGTTCCAGATAATATGGATGAACTCTGCTCCGATGGCGGGAGGTGCGATGATAAAAAGGAGATGAGGGGATCATCTCGAATAATTCCTCAGAGCATTCTCCATGGACCATACGGTATAAAGCACAGAGAGAACCGAAGTCCCTCCATAGACCCAGACGTTCCAAGTGATCCGTGAGAGCGGGGCTATCGACCATCCGAACAGCCCGTTTCTGTATGGAGTCAAACGGAAGTAGCTGGTATTTGGGTATGCTGTTAAAATCTTAAAAACAACACGGCCTAATAACAGGAGCCGCATTGTGAATACTCAGCTTGATTAGCTCGGCGTGGGCAGCTCACAAGATAAACAAGCTTACAATTATAATTATTCAGAATGTAAATAATAATTTTAGAACGTGATTAACAGTCGAGATTACGGAAGCTTTGAAGCTCAATTAAATTTAATATTTCCTTTGAGTAATATTCACGGCGCACTCTCAAATTTGTTCTATGAAATAAATTACGATTCGTATTTCTGTGTTTATTTATTTGTTTAACATTATTCTTTTTTGTATACTGTGATCTGTTTTTAGAGGCTTAGAGGTTTTGAAGTGAAACTTCTAATGCGATTTCTAACAAGGTTGCGTTAAACGTTTAACGCTACCATGGAATAGAAAGATATAGAGCGACAGTGATGATGATGATGATGATGAATGCGTGGCACTCGAACGCATGCGCGTAGTATACCTGTTACAGGCCAGCGCGAGCGTTAGCAACGGGTAGCGTCCAAAATTTTAATGAAGTATTTAAAAATATATTTATATATATATATATATGTCGGAGAAGCCAAAATTGTTAATACCATCGTCAGACATGGTAAGGGCGAATAAGGTGATCGAGCTAAGAGAAATATTGAGTACACCAATCACGCTTGTTGTCTTGGTACAATTTAGAAATCTTTTCTTAACGTTAGCAAACGAAAACGAATGACAGTTCTTAGGACGGAGGCACCGCTCTCCAAGAAGGCTGGTTGGTAAGTGTGATGGCGTCTACGCGCCTCCATCGGCTAGGCTCTGTCGTAGCACAAAGTTAGTCAAGTTCCGAAGATACCGAAATCGTGCTGCGTTTCGTTTAGCTACCAAACTAATGACCGTCTTAGATATATATTATATTTCTATATATTATTTAAAAAATATATATTATAAATGTTAAAGGTGTCGCATCTCTTATACACAGCATTCCCTATTAGAAGAGCAATCTAATTTAAGGGTGAAAAATTAAGAAATCCATAATACCACACATCGAAAAAGAAGTTTCACTTCATTCACGTGCACCAAGTTGTACGCGCTTTTTTTTAATAATAACAATGTCATAGGCGGTTCATGCACAATGTCTTGTGACATGTCTATGTCAGTCAGTCTAAAACAGATCTTGAGGTACTCTTCTTCTAAATCTTCTTATAGTCATTCGGTTCTGGTCCTTTAGATGGTAAGCAAGGTTATTTGGGTAGTATTAGTACTCTTTCACTGTAGGGTTTAGTGATATGAATCACTTCATCTCTAACTTTTCTTCTAATAAATATTTTACCCACCAAATTGATCTCCGAATCAAATAATAGTTTACGGACCAAAAGATTGTCACAAGCATTTTTTTTATCTCTGGAAAACAGCAGCGCGTTCCATTCTTACCGAATTACAAAGTTAACGCCATTGAATCCGCGGGGACGTTTATTACGCAGTAAAGATTAATATGACAGCTTCAATGACAAGGACGCGTGTACTCTAAAGCGAATAGCTCGTAAAATTAACGTCTACAAATCTCGTCAGCAGAACGAAAACCCCGCTTTTTTCACAGATCGCTAATCACAGATTAGTGTGTAGTTTTTATCGATATATAACAGAGATAGTTTTTATGGTTAACATTAATTTGCTTATCGAAATTTTGTGCACAAAATAATTGTGACGATATCTATATATTAATACGTGAAGCAAAAACTTTGTATTCCTTTTTACGAAAATTGCGCGGACGAAGGAGTATAAAATTTTCCACACTCATAGAGAATATAGAGAAGAAGTGCACAATGATAATATTTTTTTAAAATAATGCATAAAAGATACATTAAATCAATAAAGAAAACATTACACACACTACATACCATGTATTTGACGCACACACCCATGCACACTATTTATTGTCAAACTTTTGTTCTTGACGTCTGTTGTCAAATTGAGAATAGATTAAATATTGTTTGTCTTTGTTAATATTTTTTATAGTGTAGTACAAACTTACAATTCCAATTAATTATAGTCGAATTTCGAATACTGCGGGCCCTCTAGTACTTATTTATTGCATCAAACTCTAAATACAATTTTCGACTCTGATGTTGGGAAGTATTAGTTTTATTTGATCATTAGCGTCATGTGCAAATGTTGTATTGCCTCTGCAAGGTCTGGTAGGTCTAGGAGGTCTTGTTTACAAGCCAGTATTGGTTCGTACTGCCTTAGTACCTACTCTAAAGGTTAGCAGTGCCATTGACGTTGTCTGTGGATGTGTGGCGCGATCTCTTTTGCACGTCTTATAAAAGAGAAACGCGGGTAGTCAATTGAAGTTTTTACTTAATTAAAATAAAATAAAGGTATTATTAGATAGAAAAGTTTTTGGTGAGAATTACGAGGAGACGCTGGAGATACTAATCCCCCGTCTGGTAAATGTGTGTTTACTGCAGACCTTAAATGGTGGAACGGACGTTATTTTTCTTTTGTTATTCACCAGACAGTGTGTCCGTGTTCACGGCTCACCACGTGTGGTGGATGTGGTGGTGATGAGACGTCAAGGTCTCAAATTTATTATATAATTGCTGTAATGTCATTGAAACGCGAATAGCGTAGTAGGAATATACGTTGCGAGCTCAGTTTGACACATAATAAAAACGATCATATTTCTTATTTTTTTAAAGGATCCTTAAGTATATATAGTAGATATGTAGGTAGGTAGTTCTCGCACAGAGAAGCTGGCCACAAAGATTGAGGGACTGGACAGATAATCATTCTACACTTCAGTGCTTTCTGTATAATTTTTCCTAGCTTCAAATCCATTTCATTTTACCAAGGTATCAAGTATCTAAAAGCCCTGCGAGAATCCCGAGCAAATATCCAAGGGGAATCCAATAAGCATGTCTTCATTTTCAAAACTGAATTTCTTTCATTTTATTTATTTCCCCTTTTTTAAATCGTTCTACTCTTTCGATAATGCGTACTAATAAATTATAATACACAATTAAGAAAAAACATTTTCATGGTCGTATTTATCATCTGTTGTAGACAACACCGTAGTGACGACGACAAAGCCGAAGAGACGGACGTACATGCTGAAGAAGAAAGCGCTCACGACCGGCTTCTTCGACCAGAGTCGGACCAAGGACGCCGACAAGGATAAAGGTTGGTGCGCATAATTTTAGAATCTAGAAATATAAAGGTAAAATATAACCGCATTCACGTGGTGATACAGGCTCCGGGAACCACTTAAAATTAGATGGGCCTTGAGTACGTTTACCTGCCCAAGCGATAAAAAATGGATATTGTCGCTACAGGAATCTTATGGCAGGTCAACACATGTGCATTGCTTTACCCGCCCAAGCGATAAAAAATGGATTTGTCGCTACAGGAATCTTATGGGAGGTCAACACATATGCATTGTTTCAGATTCTGGCAATTCGTACCACCCCAAGTGGTGGGTGCGGAAGTTCCCCACTACGAATTTAAGCACTTTGTTTATATGGCATATTTATTAAGGGATGAGCAGCGGATAGTTTTATTTTTTATTGCTTAGATGGGTGGACGAACTCACGGCCTACCTGGTGACATCTACAACGTAAATGCGCCACCCATGTTGAGATATACGTTCTAAGGTCTCAGTATAGTTACAACGGCTGCCCCACCCTTCAAACCGAAACGCACTGCTGCTTCACGGCAGAAATATGCGGGGTGGTGGTACCTACCCGTGCGGACTCACAAGAGGTCCTACCACCAGTAAGTAGTACAGAAACTGCAAATTGTAAAAGGCAGTGTTGGAGTCCGCTACGGTATTCGTAGATGGGCCAATCCAATAGAAGACCGAGTGCCAAGGTATAATTATAAAATTAGTCTAAAATTTATTGATTAATCTATTTTTATATCTCTCGCACATGCGCACAGGCAAAGACAAAGCAGTTAACATTTTTTTCTGCTCTATATGTCGACGAGTTTTCTTTTCTCGGTTCTTTTTTAGAATTAATGTAGACTTTTTTTAAAACAGACTTAAATTTTTAACTTTTTTAGAACAGGACAAAAAGAAAATATGATACACAAAATGAATCTGAATGTGTCATCGATTGATGAAATTTCGGCCGCAAGGCGCCCATTCGTTCATTAAAATGTCCTTACCATTGTTAATTGCCATTGATTAAGGTCGCAAGAGCTAAACATGACGTAAATCGAGAACTATTCTTTCTTCGCTGCTTTGAATGGCAAAGGAAAATAAATTTCCGTTTGTTCTGAAGGACTCATGAATTGCTTCATTCTGGGGCTGGTTTTTTGGGTAAAACATTAGACGGGAATTTCGTATTGTTGAAAATTCCTCTTTAATAACCCTTTCAAAGCGGAATGAGCGTTACGTGCTCAGCATAAATATGTAATCTGGTAGCACAAAGCCGTACAATATTGAAGCATCCTATCAGTGAGTAATTTTACGCGAAACAGGCCTGCGTTTCTATTTAAAGGATCGAATACTAAGTTCTACACTAGAGTTGATCTCAGTCACGTTCTGGAGGCTTTTGACTTCGACAACAGTTCCACAGTCTTTTCGTTGCCATTTGTAGAGGCTACGGCTTTTCGTAGACGGCTACAAGTCCGTAGCCAACCTCATATGGTAAATATCGTATTCTATAGCCATAACAAGCTTAGCAGGTCTACGTGGGCTACGTAGCGCCGTAGCTTGCTTTCTGTGCTTTCTTTTACTCATTTTATTTCTTTTATTCACTGATACAAACAAGCAGGGTAAAAATAACTTTACGATAGGCAACTAAAAATTTCAGTTCAGACCAAGAAGCAATTTAAATGCGAAACCGACCCACTGAGAAGATCCGGCGAAAAACCCAATGGGCTGTGTCTGTGGGTGAATTTACTCATCGAGCCCTTCGTCGCAAGCGAGAGGTTCGACGAGAACGGTGATAGGTGCTTGGGGTACCTAAACGCACCGTTAGTGGATCGGGAGGATCCGAAATGACGTGTTTTGGGCGACGTCGACTGTTTACCATTCGGTCCGCAGGATAGGGTGTATAGTTACCGGCGGCTATGACAGGGTTTCCATTTTGTGCGACTTTCTCTAATGGCGCACTGATGCCGACTGAAGATACTTACTGATGCTGTCAAGCTCCATAATGTCATGGAGGTCTACGTTTCTCACATACCACGTTGCTCGGACGCCTATCCTGGAAAAACGCGATTGATTGATTTGAAGGGGCTTCAAGTCGGTGCGGATCGCGTGAGCGAACACTACACTTGCATAGATCATGACTGGGCGTATGCAAGCTTTGTAGATTGTCACCTTATTACGGAGGGACAATTTAGTTCTCTTGCAAATCATCGGGTAGAGGCTATAAGGCCCCAATGTGAGCAGCTAGCAGTAGAACTAGCACTAGTGGTAAACTCCAGACCACATATCACTAGATGTCATCATAACCACAGCACGAATTCCGGCTTTCGTCTTTAGATTTCAATGTTACAAGTCCGTTGCCACAACGAGTGTCCTGTCTGGACTGCTGCTATAAGGCCCCAATATGAGCAGCTAGCAGCAGAACTAGCACTAGTGGTAAAGTCCAGACCACATATCACTATATGCCATCATATACACAGCACGAATTCCGGTTTTCGTCTTTAGATCTCAATGTTACAAGTCCGTTGCCACAACGAGTGTCCTGTCTGGACTGCTTCACAACAGAAATTGACATGTAATACCAACTGTGTCCATAACATACTACAAACCAGGTGAGCGGTAAGCATAAGTAGCGCTAAAAGGTCGAAACTCCACGCCTAAACTTTACGAAAAAAATCCAGACAGGTTTCTATCATTCAAACCTAGCACAATGAAAACCGAACATAACAAACTTTATTTGAATTAGAAAAAAACAAATCGCACAATCGAGTTATCCAATAAACATTTGATTCGGTTCTATTATAACGCAGGAACGTGTGTTTGAAGATTAATCACGCGCTTACCTAGAACAATGTAATCAATTTAAATCTGTATTTGCGAGATAAAAGACGATGGGTTGCAGATGCGGCTGCGTGTAGCTTCAGACACGCGCTTCTGGGAGGAGTGTGTGTCTTAAATTGTTTTTTTATTGCTTTGATGGTTGAACGAGCTCACAGCCCACCTGGTGTTAGGTAGCTGGAGCCCATAGACATCTACAACGTAAATGTGCCACCCATCTTGAGATATAAGTTCTAAGGTCTCAAGTACAGTTACAACAGTTGCCCTACCCGTCAAACCGAAACGCATTACTGCTTCACGGCAGGAATAGGCAGGGTGGTGGTACCTACCCGCGCGGACTCACAAGAGGTCCTGCCACCAGTCTCAGTTTAAAAGTTAGTTTAAAAGTTAGTTTTAAAGATAGCTAATGTAACTGGTAAAATATAAAAAAATAAGTGTAGCAAAGATGATTAATATTAAAAATATTAAATGATAAACCTTTAAAATACTCTTTTTTTTTATTGCTTAGGTGGGTGGACGAGCTCACAGCCCACCTGGTGTTAAGTGGTTACTGGAGCCCATAGACATCTACAACGTAGACGCGTCACCCACCTTGAGATACAAGTTCTAAAGTCTCTGTATAGTTACAACGGCTGCTCCACCCTTCAAACCGAAACGCATTATTGCTTCACGGCAGAAATAGGCAGGGCGGTGGTACCTATCCGCGCGGACTCACAAGTGGTCCTACCACCAGTAAAAACTCCTGTAAAATTAGTAAGTTTTGAGATTGTACAGTTTTAATGCGAGAAGACGATATGTCAACAGTTCAAGGGATATAGTTACGTGCAAGTAAGAACTCATTTCGCAATATGGACGGGCAACCTCAAAGAATGTGGGTGACACCAGCTATAAGTGAAGTGTATCGACTCAGTAAGCACCGGTAGTTCAATGATCGAAAAAGCAATGTGATTAACTCAAATAGTACGGCGACAAAGGCTTAGGTAGGCAAAGAGGTACACCTAAAAAAAAAATGGATCTCTCGGCCCACGTGGTGTTGGGTGCTTACCTTAGAGTCCCGAGACATCAATCAGAACGTGTATTCCGCCAGCCATTGACACATGAGGTCGAAGCCCCAATTGAATAGTATTATAATTATCTTAATATTGCAACGGCGTGCGCGAGTCATTTGCGGCCAAAATAGGAAAGCAGAAATAAGAGAGTTTTAACCATGAATGTGGAAGGCTTTAGAGGAAGAGATAGACTTAAGAAAAAATGGATGGATTGCGTGAATGACGATATATGTAAGAGGGCAGTGAGCGAAGAAATAGTATATGATAGAGGAGTATGGAAGGAGAAAACATGTTACGCCGACTCCAGGTGACTGGGAGAGGGGCAGGAGATTGATGATAATGAGCGGATGATGCGGCTTTATCTAATGTTGATGATGAATTGTTTATTTATTTTTATTTATTTTTTTATTTATTTATTTATTTATTTATTATTTGTGGTCATAGGTTAACAAAGATTAATAAGTTAATATTAATAAATGTATCACTATGTCCTGCTAGTAAAGCGTACAAATATTAGGTGTAAGTATAATCTACATAAAAATAAAAATAACTTAAATTATAATTATTGAACTCTATTCTACTTAATTATATAAAGTTATCGTCTAAATATTCTGACATACTATAGTAAGCCTTATCTAATAAAAATACTTGCAATTTTTGCTTAAAATCATGTAAATCTATTGTCTTCAAAATTTTTATAGGTAGTTTATTAAATATTCTTGATGACATACTAAAAAAACTCTTGTCATAAAGGGCAGTTCTATGAGGTAGCGAAGAGATCTTTAAAGTATTCCTAACANCTAATAAAAGCGCATTAAAAATCACTTGAAATACTTTACGTCAATTTAAAGATCTAAACATAATTTGTAAGACAATCATGTATATATTATCATACCGCGAAATTCGCATAAATCGCTCAATAACGGACAATACCAATAATTCCACGTCTCTAGTTAGGAGTTCTACGATCAATCGAGTGTAAACACTTCGATACATGCAGTGAACTATACAAAATATAACTCAAATCGTTTCAGCTCTAACACTAGGAGCCGGCTTAGGAACTTCGGTAATCATGCTCGTCGAACTCGGCAAGGTGGTTCGTGATGAACGTTGACCTACACGTCGACCTGGGCCTCGAA